TGTACGATGTAATTGTAATTTTGCCTTTCGCAAATAATATGCCTAAAAGTGCTACTGGCTCCCATACCAATACCACGGCATAAAAAACAATCGGCAGGCCCACTCTCCGCTGATCGCATACAAATATTATACTAAGAAAATTTGACCTTGACGACGCCATTCGGGGGTCTTAGTCAGGGTCGGATTAAAGCGTATTTAAAGATTTTGTAATAAAATAAGGTATTGATAGGCAGGATCGTATTAAAACAAAAAAGCTTCACAGATTGCGCCAAATAATTAGCTTGTTTTTATTGATGGTCTTAGAATTTCTATTAATATTTTTAAAGTGAAATATATGAGCAGCCTTAAATATAACTTAGGACCGATTCCACCGTTGTGTTAAACGAAGTTTAAAATTACAATTTTACATTAACAATGTCATTTTAATCTCCGTTTAACACAACAGTGGAATCGACCGTTAATAACATATATTTATGGAAATCGGGGACAAGGAGCGTCAAATGTTATCTCGGAATTAATTAAATCTAAAAAAAATTACAAACGCCGGATTTAGTGATAAATAATTCAAAATTGTGATGAAAAATTATTTCAATTTTTGTTATTAAACATACAAAACTATTATTTGACATTTTTAAATTGGCAAAAATATCTTTATTTGCCTTTTTTGTATGCTTTATAATAACAATACATGGAGCTTATATCCAAGTCTTCGTGTGTTAAGGCATATTGTGTACATACATCGCAACGTTGAATTTTAAGACATTTTTTTTATTAAAAATCCGCATATATAATAAAATTTTCTTAAAAAATATTAATATTTTGTGCATGCAATTCATTAATATGCTTGTTTATATTTACATTTTCGACAATATTTCCGCCATTACACGCGATTTTGGAAAATGGCTCATCCTTATTAGTCCTACGAATTTCATGTAGCCTTACAACTAAAGCATCCCCACCTGTTTCGTAGTTTTCTGTTCCAGAATGTAAAACATTGCAATTTTTTGAACGTCCTTTGAATTTGGACCGATGTAGGGTTTACACAGTTACCATCATGGAGCAAGGATAATTAAGAGTTGCAGATTCCTCACAGAAATTTGGCAACATGTTTACCTTCAGCGACATATGGAATAGTTTTGTGCAATTAATACTCAGTCGGTAATATAGAAAGATCTAATGCTATTTTAGCTTGAACATTGGCGGGCTTTTGAATTTACTTCGACAAAATATAAGAATTTTACATTTTTAATAGCACTGCTTAAAACACATGATTTTGATTGTGACTCATTACTAATTTACTACTTATAATTTCTTTAATGGCTAATTAAGATTTTCTTGCTTTTTGTAATGAAAATACTTTAGATTTATCAAGATTATAAAGCTTTGTTATTCGCATATCTAGAATAATTATCAAAATGAATATCAGAATTAAATTTTTGTTAAGCATTTCAATATTTGGGAATAACACAATTACGATTAATATTCATTTTTTTTTCAGAAAAAAAAAATTATTCCATACAAAAAATTCTGCTTGTTGAAGAAAATTACAAGAAAAAGTTTCCTTTTAAACTTATGAAGGAAAACCGAAAGGAAAACTGTGACTTTTCTTCGTAAAATCAATAAGGTAATACAGATTTTTTCCTTTTGTCAATTTTAAGTTTCTTCATTTATTAAGACCATGTACACCTGACCTAACATATTAATATAGTAAACCTATTTTTTCGTCAAACAGAATTTTTTTATAATGACTTTTTCCTTAAAATAAAAATTAAGAATTTTCCATTTTGTCAACTCCTTACGGGAGATGTTTAAAATATAACATTTTACTTTAAATCTTAATAATATACCTACATAAGTAAATATAAATTGACGCTAAACTTTACGTGACGTTAACTAGGCACCTACCGACATCTTACTAATAGCTTTATAACTGACAAACTGACTCAGAAACTAGGATTTTTTTAAAATTATACCATACATACCTAATAAGATCTTTAAGAAACCGAAAAAATCTTTTAATACAGTTTATTCATATAGTTTTTTGCTACACAACTTTGACCAGACATAGTAAAACACTTAAAAGTTAACAAATTAACACTGGGAAAACAACTATTATATAAAAAGTGTCAAAAAATATCTATAATTCTAAAAAAATAACAATAACTACATAATACAAACACCACAAACAAAATTAATTTAAGATGCACGCTACTGATTCTGTGCTACTGCAACTTGTTTGTTTTTGTCGATATAAACGACGACTGTGACGCCACTGGCTTGATTGAGAGGTTGGACCCCAAAATGGCGGTGTGCGCGTAGATGTGCGCGTAGCGTTGCCGCCAAGACAAGTTAGCCTGGTTTATTATGCCGTGCCAATACTATCAAACGCAGTAACAAAATGACATTTACGGATGTGTAATTGGAACTCAGGGTAGGAAACATAACGACAACAAATTTTGATGTACTTAAGCGGAACTAAAATGTGTGCATGAGTAATTAAGATTATCAGTAATGTGAAAGGTCCATTGTCAGAAGTTGATGTCCTAGGATAGGCCCAGCGAAATCTATGTGTAATATTTGCCAGAATCCAGTAGGTAGTTCCCAGTAGTATAGAGGGGCTTTTGCACGCTCTACAGGATTTAATTTTGTTCTATCTGTTTTTCCTATATACGTATCTGCGTGATAGTAATTTTATTTTTAAAATGCCAATATGTCTGGTATATAGTTCATCAAGTACACGTGCGCGTAAACCCTGCGGTATTACTACTTGGGTCTTCTTAAATATGCCGTTATCTTGAAGTGTTAGTTTATTGTCATTGTAACCGTACTGGCGTAATGAGAGTTTGCAATGTTTTTAGTAAAATCTTTAGTTCATCGTCATTCCTTGTTTCAGTAGCTATGACTTCAAGGATAATAATCTGTAATTAAAAACTGCACTGTTGGTCTTTTGGTGTTTCTTTTACCATTTCTACTGGTAATCTTGATAAGTAATCGGCATTTGAATGTATCGCTGAGGCTATGTATTGTACGTCATAGTCTAATCCTGATAAAAATGTGTGTAATGAAACAAACTCATTATACTTAGTGCTGGTAAGGTATTGTGAGGATGAAATATCGAGGTAAGGTGCTTATGATCCGTTATTAATGTGATGTTTTGGCCGTAACAATAGTGAAATAATTTTTTATACCCCAATAGATAGCCGTAGCTTCTTTATCAATCGAGTGTATTTTCTTTCACTCGATTAAAGTATTCTGGAGGTGAATGCAATAATTTGTCTTTCTGACGCATCTTGTAATTTGTGAGCCAGAACAGCTCCCAATCCAGTTGGTGACGCATCCGTGGCAAGTATCAATGGTTTCTTAGGATCAAAATGGATGAGAACGCTTTCCTTTGTAGTGTTATTGAAGCTGACTTCGCATTTCGATGTCCAGGTAAAATCTTTCTCTTTCCTAAGTAATAGATGCGAGGTTCGGTATAAACTTGTCATAGTAGTTTACTATGCCGAGAAAGGTTCGCAGTGCGTTAATGTTTGTTGGTCTATGTGTATTGGTTATTACTTTGATTTTGTCTTTATATTTTTATGTAGCCAACCTTTATCAATTGTATGGCCCAGGTAATTAATGATCCGTTTGTAAAATTGACATTTTTCCTTGTTAACTCGAAAATTATTGTTTTTTAGTTTCTGCAATACTTGCTTAAGTCGTGTTAAGAGTTGTTCGTCTGACGCTCCTTGAATTATTGCTACGATTTCGCCCTAACATTTTTTGGTAACTGATTTAGATAATTGATTTTATTTTCGGACACACTGTATATTTTGGCGGTACCTTTCGGTGTCTTATTAAAATGAAATATTAATGTGGTGCATACCTTTTATTTGTGAATGTTTTGTGTCATTTGAGACTGGAGTTCTCTCCTAGAATGCCTTTGGTGGTTCTCGGGTTTCCAGCTTACCGCTGTTGATAGATTTTCTCCGGCACCTGTCATGGTAGCACGCAGGTTTTAGCTACTTTGTTTATTTTTATATAAATGTTTGATTATTGTGGTAGTCGTTATGATCTGACTTAAAACAATAGTTCTGACTTAGAGTGCCTGGGGTAGCTCTTGCGTTTCCAGCTTACGGCTGTTAGCGGAAATTCTTCGGGTTTCACTGTAGTGACACTTTTGTTAATCGTAACTTACGAGTTTCTGACTCGTTCTTTAATGTATTTGTCGATAGGGTGCCTGTGGCAGTTGGTGATGCATTTAAACTTCTCATTCCACGAACATTACTTCTAAAACAACCCGAGGTTTTAGTTTGACCTAGGTTTGTCTTCGTCAGTAAGGCAAGCTGACGTGCTTATATCTTTTTGTATAATTTTGTTTTTTTCTGTGGGGTTTCGCCATTCCCCCATAGTTTCAGTCTGGTGAAAACTATATTTCACTGAGGTTATATAATCTCTGGACAATTGTTCTAAAAATACATTATGTGCAATTAAGATACTTTTAGTGGGGCCTCTGTTTACCTTTTTGTGTATACAGTATTTTTAGTTCGTTAATTCGATCAATTTATAATATATTTGTTGATATAAATATTTTGACAGTCAGCTGGTCTTAACTGACTTGACGTTCGAAAAGTCAAGTGTCATATAACGTGCTTGCATGTAAAGATCTAGGTAACGGGCTTACAACGTAAACTACTACAACAATGACTTAATATTAATTCTAATGTCGAGTCAGCCCGACAGCTTATATATCCGTTACCGTGGCGGCCAGTATATGACACTGGGTTTTTCGAATTAAAATTCCTTTGTTAATAACCAATGTCTGGATATTATATGATATTTGAGAGAGAAATGTTAAAAATGAAAAGCCGTTACATCTCGAGAAGGTATAGTATACAGCGATAAAATATATTTTTGTAAAATTTTTTTATTTAACAAATACATGTACAAATAGAAATAATAATAAAACATAAATAACAAAACAAATGTAGTAAAATTCAAAAATTCAACTATCGAATTTACTCCGGGAGCACTACATTTTTTTGATAAGCATCCTTAGCCACTATTCTTAATTGATCGCTAGTACTCTTTCCGGTATCCTCAACCATTTTACTAAACATTCCGTTTTTATTTTGAAGAAGAATATGCGGATGATCGAATTCTGCTACCTTTCCTTGGTCCATGACCAATACTTTATCCGAGTCCATAATGGTGTTCAATCTATGTGCCACAGTTAGAACTGTGCAGTTTGCAAATTTGGTTCTTATGGTTTTTTGAATAAGTGCGTCAGTCCTGAAATAAAATAATTATATTTTTACAAGAGGAGCTTTGATTCATTATTGACAAAATTTGAGTTTAGTGACAAAGTGCACCCGGTTTGATAAACATTTAGGAAGAATTATAACAAATTTCATAAAACAAAAGAATACAAAAACTAAGGTACAAAAAACATTAAAAATAGCTAAGCTAAGAGAAGCTAATTGCTTTCACATCAATCTATAAAGTTGCATGAATGTTTCTGACAGTAATGTGTCGATCCTCTTTAATCATGTTCCGAATAAGATCAATATTGTTTTCTGTAAATGACGGTTTTGGATTATGAGGTTAAAAACTGCTATTTCAGGAAAGTCAACCACGTCGAATCATTCCATCATCACTTTTTGGTAGCGACGAAACACGACTTATCACCCAGCACTCGATTGTTTTTCTCAAAATATTCTTTACGGTTTAAACCAGGCTTGTAATTGTAAAAAATCACAACCCGATAATGTCCTTATTGTCCTTATTGGCAAAAGTTTACTTTAAACTTACGTAACTTACAATCAGGTACATTTAACAACTCTCACTAACTAGATTGAAATGCAAGACAAATTTATTTCAAAAATATCATCGCCTACTAAATAGGCTCAACGGAAAGAATGATTAAAAATGCGAGTATTTACCATCACAATTTACGTGCTCTGTCAATAGAACACATTTTAAAATTTCACGATAATTTCCTTGAAGGATACCTAGAAGACCGTATGACCTTATTCAAGAGATAATACTGTACAAATAAAAAGTGACAAATTTCGCACTATAAAATATTCAAAATATAATAATAAAAAATCTAACGATGTAACAACTGACTAAATAAGTATTCTGAGAGCTTTGAAGAGAAAGAAGCTATTTTATAAATATCATTACATTTAAGATACTTACTGTGGATCAACGTTAGCAGTAGCTTCATCCAACATAAGAATTTTGTTGTTCCTAATTATGGCTCTAGCCAAGCAGATGAGCTGCTTCTGTCCCACGCTGTAGTTGGAACCCCTATCCATGACTCTGTTTTCTAACCTGTTGATAATATTTGCCGGATCTTTAAGTTCTACTTCCTGCAAAGCGTTATATAACTTCTCGTCTGAATATTCGTCAAAGGGATCTAAATTATAACGTAAGGTACCTGAGAATAAAACAGGATCTTGTGGAATGATAGAAATCTTCGATCGGAGATCTTTTAGAGTTATGTCCTTGGTTTCTATATCGTCAATTGCAATTGTTCCTTCTACGTTGGCTAGTCTGAAGAGGGCTGCGATTAATGAAGATTTTCCTGCACCTGTTCTTCCTACTATTCCAACCTAGACCAATCAAATAAGGCAATAAATTATTTGTTAATCGTCACAGTTATTTTATATATTTACCTTTTCTTTTGGTTTGATTTGCAAAGTCAGATCCTTGATGATTAGAGGTCCACCTTCAAAATACTTAAATTTAGTATTTGAGAAATCTATTTTGCCAGAATTTGGCCAAGATTTAGGAAGAACTTTTGGAAGAACTGGTTGTGGCTCTGGAGGAAGTTGCTTGTATTCGAGGACTCTCTCAACTGACATTAATTGGTTAGATATATCGGCTGTAACTCTCATCGTCATCTGTATCATACCAGTTAAAGTGTTGGCCTGAGAGATAGCTAGACCTATAGTACCTCCAGTTAGACCCATAGCTAAAATATAAATAGTATCAAGTAAGTAGTATTAAGTAAGTAAATAAATAATGTCAAGTATTTTACAGCTTTAATATTGATAATCACTTACCCTCATCGAAAGTTAGTATACTGAAAATAAGTAATGTAATAAAAATGACTGAAAATATGTCCAAACTAAATCCAAATGCAGAACTACTTGTAATGTTCATATACCAAGCGCTGATGTGGTAATTTTGGATCTTGTCAAATTCAGATTGCAATATTTGTTCACTTCTTAGCGCTCGTATTGTTGTTAAACCTTGCAATGTAGCACTTAAATGTGTAAATATTGGACTTCTTACTGAAAATTAAATATTATCTTATTTTGTGTTTTTAAATTTCAGTTGTGAATTTTTCTAAGGGGCTAATAAATTTACTTACACGTTCCTTCAATTCTTTTAAGATTTTTGGACGTCTTCAAATATATATTTCTTAGTACTCCTGTCATAACAGCTAGTCCAACAGCCAGAATAATGGCGTAAGGATTGGCTATCCCCACTAGGACCAAGGAACCAAACATTTGTAACATCATCTAGAAAAAATAATATTAATGCAAAATAAAAAAAGCATTTAAAATCAAAGTTACTTGACCCCCATCGAGAAGAACTCTGGGAATGGCATCATCAATAGTACCAATATCCTTGGCAAATCTGTTTAATACTCTACCACTTGGATTGGTATCAAAGAATCTCATTTTGGCGCAAATTATGCCTTGAAAGAGAGATTTATGCAATCTTCTTGAACAGGACATTGTCAAAGAATAAAATGAAAATGATCTTGTCATGATTAGTATGAATACAAGACAAACCAAACAACCATAGATAATGAGGCATGTTTCGGTGGACCAATCTGGATAATTGTTTATTAAAGCTCTATTTACTGCTCTAGGATTAAAAACATCAGTTACAGTAGAGTAAAAGGTATGCTCAGTAGAGTTAAATATGTTACTATTAGTGTTGACAATGTTACTAAGAGTAGAAGTGAATGTTTCTGTTTGGTTTTCAGAAACTGCAGCTGCAAATGAACGTGCAACTATCGATTCAGTTTGTGATCCTAATGTATTTGCTATTCTGAGTTCTTCTATAGTTGTCCAGAAACTGATAAAGTAGTCAACTGAACTTCCTGCTATTGTTACGCATAAATAGAGCATCAAGATAAGGGTTACATTGAAACAGTTGGCACCGCTGCGGAAATACTGCAGAAGAAGAGAACCCAATACTTTGCCTTTTGAAGAATCTTCTTGCATATCAATCATTTTTGGTTTCTTTCTCTCGTATTCTTCATCCTCCCCAGAATCTTCATCGTCGCCTTCTACTATACTTTCAACAATACTCTTGGTGCTCATTATGCTGAGGTTTGATGATTTTCTACTCTGTTAAGAAAAAAAAAAAAAAAAAAAAAAAAAACAATATGATGTGCTAAAATTTAAACTTTGTACATACCCTCTTTGAAATCTGTCTGGAATATTTGATATGTTCGATTTGCTTTTGTTTTTCTTCTTCGTTTATTTCTGGTTCTGAAGTCAATAATTTGGCATACAAATTTTCACTGCTTGCTAATTCGTTAAAAGTTCCTTCATTTTCAATGCGACCCTAGAAATAACACTAGATTATTTAAATTATACCAGATTGTAGTTGTATGTAAAATAGTATAATGACAAAAAGAAGCTTATTGTTGGAAAAGAACGGACCATCAATATTTGAGAGGATTTGTAACAGAAGACAAGTCAGGTTTTCAGATGGAAAAAATTATCCACTGAAAAGTGTTCATCCTAAGAAAATATGACAAAGCTATTATAGCCATTACATAGAAAAAGTTTGAGAAGAATAATAAAGAAAACTATGAAATTATTAGAAGAATTACCAAGTAATTAGGTTAAATCTTTGGAGATGCCGTTATCGCAGCTACTTTTCAGTATATTTTGAAAATTTACAATTACCCTGTTGAAACTGGTATTTTTTTGTATAAATTACATTATAAATTTAATAATTGATGAACTCATTATTTCAAAATAACGTAATAATATACTGTAAGACGTTGACCGGAGCAGTAGCCAGCTCGTTTTTAATACCTAGACTAGCTTTGACACATTTCTCGGCTTATTTTATATACATAATAGGTATGATGTACCTATACAGAACCGCTTTGTACCTTAGGCTTCAGAGCTAAATAGATAGATCTGAAGTAAAAAGTTTACTTCAGAGAAGAATTTAAAATAAAATATCCTACTTATCTACGGGTATATAATATATGTGTTATTGTTAGAAGCTAAAGGCATTAACTCTTTGTTTTATTGATTGATTACGAAAACAATAGTGCAATCAATCTTTCAAAAAACAGTTAATCGATGTGTAGCATTATTTCGTCCGCAAAGCAGTAAAGGAAGGGAAAATAGAAGTTGTGAAGGTCTCCACAGATTACCCTTAGATAGCAGATTCACTCACTAAAGCAGTCAGTAGTCAGAAACATGATTGCTGTCCGAGACAAATGGGACAGATTGATCATCAATCATATATGTCATGTTTAGTTGTCAATAAAGTTACTTTCGTCTAAGCTGATAAGAATTTTCTTTCTACCAAAAATCACATAATTCTACACTTATGTATAAAAAAAGATTTTAAAATATGAAATAATTTTTCTACTTACGTTATTTAATATAATGATATGGTCAGCATTTTTCAAATAATGCACTTGATGCGTTACCAGAATTCTAGTTTTATTAGCTAAAAATCCATTGATGCATTCTTCGTAAAGCACCCTCGATACGTGAATATCAACCGCAGATAACGGGTCATCGAGTAGATAAATATCTTTGTCTCTGTAAACAGCTCTTGCCAAATTGATTCTAGCTTTTTGCCCACCGCTAAGGGAAGCACCTTTGTCTCCGACGATTGTTAGATCTCTATTCTCGAATTGGTCCAAATCTTGTTCCAGGGCACATACTCTTAATACTTCTCGGTATCGTTTTTTCTCATACTCGGCACCAAAAAGGATGTTTTGGCGGACAGTTGCTGCAAAAATCCAAGGTTCTTGAGAAGCATAGGAGTAACTGCCATTTGCTTTTATTGTACCAGCAGTGATATCTAGTTCACCTAAAAATGATTTAAATATTGTAAGAATTATATTATAAAAGGTATTGATACATATTGTTAAGGCATAAGAAGGAAGAAGAGGAGGAAAACGAAAGGCATAGGAAGGAAGAAGAAGAAGAAGAAGAAGAAAAGAAAAGGCGCAGGAAGGAAGAAAAGAGAAGGGAAAGGCGAGAAGAGGAGAAGGAGGAGAGGCATAGAAAAGCGAAGGTGGAAATTACAAATGGCTTGGTACAAATTCAAGAAAACTTCAGGCAAGAGGTAGGTCAGCTGAACGGTCGAGTAGATCTAGCAAAACAACAAGAGCAGAAGCAAGAAAACTTAAAAACTACTTTAGTGAAAGGGCTAGAATTGACTTGGAAAGGCAAATAAGAACTGACATAGTTGAGTTAGAAAGAAGAATTCGTAGCCAAGCTCCAGTAAGCAACGTTGAAATTGGAAACACTACCTCGTCTTCATTCATCCCAGTTTCACAAAACTGTACTAGCAAGACCCTTGAGCCACCCACGCTTGACGGTCAGACAACATGGGAAACATAACATATCGACTCACTGTGAGGTCAGGCAATAACCGTTTTACAGTTACTTCCCCAAGAAGAACCCTGTTATTCGTCTCTCATCCAAGCTTTGGAGGCAAGATATGGCTAGCAGCATTTGAAACAGGTATTCCAAAGCCAGCTAAAAGTTTGTGGTCAGAAACACAATGAGAATCTACAAGAATTCGATGCCGATATTAAAAGATTGCTGCATCTGGCCTATCCACAGGCACCTAAAGATTTCTTAGAAAAAATTGGCATAAAGGCATTCATTGATGGACTACAGGACGTGGAAATGCAGCATGCTCTTCTGCTACAACACCACAAGACGTTGAGTGAGACACTAATTGCAGGCCAGGAATACGAAGCAGCAAAATTATTAGTTCACTTAGAAATTTATTAATTTTTAATCCTCTTAATCTCTTTTTTTAACCGAAAAGGCGAGCCGCGATATAAATAAGCATCCACGTTCTCACAGCAACTCAGCTATCAATATTCCAGTTACGTCGTGAATGGGTGACCAGAATGCGAATGCGGGTGAATTAGTGAGGACCTTCAAATTAGCTTTGAGGGCATGTGTCGCCACTTCAGGCCGATTAAGCTGATAGCACGGGGAATCCGAAGGTTGAAAAAATATGTATTTTAATTTGTTGAGTGTCATTATTTAATCTAGTTTTGTCAGCTGAAGTTCTAGATTGATTTCAAATTCATTTGAGTTTTATTTTGTGAGAGATGAATTCTAATAGTGAATAAATAAGAAAGAAGCTGGAGTTACTCCCTCTAGAGAGCACACGGAGCCAACTCATGACAAAGTAAACGGAGCACTTCCGGTCTCATCATCTAGGGTTCACCTGTATCCGGTTGTAATCCCATGGAAGTGCAAAATGAAAAAATAATTTGGCGAACACATGGTGTAATTTAGTACGATGGCGACATCCTGTTTTCACGAAATGAAATATTTTTAGAACACGTACGTATCCACTTTCTGTCATATAATTTAATACGATAGCAACATCCTAACGAATTATAACATCTGGTAAAAATATGGCGACTATCTGGTATGTAATTTATTATATCTGGGAACGAAAACAACATCCTGTGGTTACGAAAATTGCTTACCTAAGAAAGTTTGAAGAAGAGAACTTTTTCCACAACCAACTGGTCCAATAACACCTATCAACTTTCCTCTATTGACCTCCATAGTAATATCTCTCAGAACGGCTTCAGATAAGTTGGCATTCCATTTGACAGTCAAATCCTTTACCGTTAATATAGCTTTAGAATCTATTTCTTCTTTAGTAATGATATTCTCGATCTGTTTATAGTCGTATTCATCCTTTATTAAGAAGTCTTGCAACCTCTTGATAGACGTGAAAAGCTCAGCAATTTCTGTGATGCCTCTGGTAAAGATACCAGTTATGGCCATAGATAAGAGATGGAAATATGACATTAGAACGAAAACCTGAAAGGGCAATAAGTGTAATTATTTTTCAATATTTATTTTATTTTCACGATTATTCTTACTTTAGCAGAATTAATTTCCTCTCCTGATAATACAATTGATACGAGAGTAGCCAACATAGCTATTCTAGTGGTGACCATACCCAAACTCATAAACAAAGCTCTTACATAAGCAGCCTGTCTTATAATTCTTATCTCTGCTTTTCTAGCCAGCCCGATAAGTTTTTGGAATGGTACCTCCCAAGCGTACATTTTGATAACTTGTATTCCAAGAATGATTTCGTCCATAAGTCTTATTCTCTCGTCAGTTTTTAAGGCGATTTTTTTCCTGAATACTGCCGACATTTTTCCTGAGTAAACTTGCAAAGGAGTTATAAATATCACAACAAATATTCCAGCCACTCCTGGTAACCCCGATCTTTGATACAACAAAAACATAATAATCATTCCAGAAAGTGGTCCAATCCACATTTGATGGATCAACATAGATGCGAAATCGAATCTTGCAACGTCATTCGATAGCAAGTTCACTACTTTTCCAGCGGGTGTGTCACCTAATGCATTTCGACTTAATCTTGTCGCCTGAAATAATATATTTTTTTAAATTACATTTAAAGGATATTTTTTAGAACATTTATTATAATTTCAATTTTAGACAATTTTGGAAAACATTTTTAGACAATGTTTAAAAGATATATAGACAAAGTTTATACAATGTTTAGACAATACTTGGACAATGTTTTAGACAACTTTTAGACAATTTTTAGACGATTTTTATACAATTTTTATAAACATTTTACACAATTTTTAGACAATTTTTAGACAATTTTTAGTCACTTTTTAGACAATTTTTAGACCATTTTTAGACGATTTTTAGACCATTTTTAGAAAATTTTTAGATACTCTTTAGACATTTTTTTTAATGCAAGTAAATTTTAAAGTATACCTTTCTGTATATTAAAGCACAAACTGAGGCTCTAACTTTCATCCCAGCATGAGCAGCATTCGTTATGTATTGATTCATAATTAAAGAGTTCGTTAAAGTGAATGCAACCAATCCAACTCCATACATGTATGCCTCAAATTTCGTTCTAGTTGATCCAGGAGTATAGTAGTCTAGGATACCTCCTAACATAGTTGGTTGGTTTGTTCTTATTACTAAATCTCCTATACCGTTTAGAAGACCCAGTAAAGCATATTCTACCCAAAATGTCTTCACTATTGCTTTCAATAGACTTGGTTTCTTTTTTACACTGTTTTTTGCCTTTTCTATTTCTAAATTCCAGTTTCTAAAACATATTAACACATTGGCATTTTGAAATATAATAAATATATCAAATAATGGAAATTCATTAGTAAGTTAAGGATGGATACAAAGATTGAAGTCATACATTAAGTAGCCTTACTATATTTTAGGTTCAAAATCTTTCTTTTCTTGATATACTCGTAGCAGGAGTGTTCAAAATACTCTTCCTTAGTTCTCAGGAACTTTAATGTTGACGTTTTTGTAATGTGGTAGATGAAACATCAAATTAAACTATAAGTACTAGTTTGATTTAAAAAACTAGGGCTATTAAAAAGTTGAATTCAGTCAGATTTTTGCTATAAAGACTTATAAGCCTCACCAAAAACAAGCATGTAATTCATGCAACTTTTTTGTTGAATTATAAAGTACTCAAGAGGTAGAACAAATCACTTGATAGTTTGATCATTATCTCATTAATTTGACAATGCAGCTATAAAAATAAATATTTTACCTTTCTAGCCTTCCACATAATAAATCACTTCTGTCACTTAAAAGTGTGTTGTATACATCATCTACATCTAATTCTTTCTTAATACCTTTCCTGAAGGTCGGGATGGTAAATCTGTAAACAAATATTGATAACATACAGTTAACAATACCTTTATGTCTATCTCTTACCCAAAAAATAAAATTGAAAAAAAATTTGCTTTTTCACGGGGATTGGGATTATTCTTAACCTCCGTTGAGTCCATATTTTCTTATCTACCTCTGATACTAGATGGGCTGTATGAAGAACTGAAAAAAACGTTAAAAAAAACAAAATAAACTTTTTTAAACAAAATATTATAAATTAAAATACGTAAAACAAAAATATATCTTTACGTTATATGGTTAAATAATAAAATTTAAAAATAAAAACAAAAACTTATTTTTAATAGAAAAACAAATAAAATAAGTGGAACAAAAATATGTCTTTATACCTATTGATAAATAAAAAAAATGTAAATTTAACAAATATGTTATGTCAATAGATTTACAATAATAGACTGTAAGTGTAGTATTTAATTTAATAAATAATTTACTGTAATTAACAATGTTTAAATTTATTTACCAGAACATGAAAGTGCAATCGATATTTATCAGGTTTTCAAATTTCCCGCTGCGTTATTTGTTTAATATCGATGATGGTTCAGATGTTAACTGCGTTTGAGCTGGTCGTTGTTATTATTATTATGAGCGTATCTTATCTTTATGTTCCTTATATGAAGACTCATAGATCCGTATTTAAAAACAGAACTCAGCTTAATCGAACTTGGGTAAGTCGTCCTTGAACTAAAAGTTCGGTGACAACATCTCTAAAGTTCGAAGTGATTACAGTGGAATTTAGAGATGGATATTAGTAAATCTGTAACTGTTAAGTACATTTATCTCTGGTATAAAGTAGGTTCTTTGGTTCGCTGTTGGTACAGTGTCCACCAGTGTAAATTACACCAGTAACACCACTTTATTTACCCTAGTTTACTTCCCCCTTATTCTTTATACACATGTCGAGTGTAATTCGCTCCTGCTAAATAGTTGGTGGAGAAAATATCCACCAGTGGATACCACACCAGGAAGGTATAGTGGGTTTTACACCGGCCCAAACGAAAGGTTTAGTGTCCGTTGGTGTAGTTCATTCCTACATCAGTGGGACGAACGAAAAAACCTTGGAATTGTCAGAAATATCTAGTGTCTAGCATAGAAATTAGAAATCATAGAATGTATTATTCAAGAAGAACTAGCAAAATATTTCAAATGTACTAGATTTAGACACTTTTATCTTTTGTGGTACTAGCATTTATGATTGGTTGAAATGTACTGAATCTTGTACAATAGTACTAGTAAACCCAACGCTGAAGAGCACTGATCATAATACCTATTTATATTATCAGAGACGGAGTAAGGAATATGATTTGAAATAATTAATAATATTTTATTTAAGTAGAAATTCAATACGAAATGTAATAATGAAACATACGAATATTTTTATAGAACGGGTCAATATAAATGATTGTGATTTTTTTAAATGGTTGGCAACATACTGATGACATTTTATTTATTTATACAGAATGTCAATTTAAAAACTTTCAAATGGCAATATCTCCTAATAAAAAAGAATATTATAAATTGCTTGAGTCAGGTAGATATTTATTTCAAGTACAAAGTATGGCGCATTATTAGAAGGTAATTTTATGGAGAATTTACCAATATGACTGTTAATTACGTTATTTTTGTTTTTAGCGCCCTCTAGCGGGATAAAAATATGTTACGTATTGTAAAGTGTGACTCTTTATTTGAAAGCTTATTTCATTAGTAATTTAATGCGTAGCATAAATTTGCTATTTTGGTTGATTGTGATTAATAGGAAATATTCTTATGCTTATTTAAAATATGTTTCATTACATTATGTTTGGTTATATTGTGCATTAAATTACTAATCAAATTCAAATGAAGTTTATCATTTTACAATAGTTTTTTATCTCGCTAGAGAGTTCTAAAACAAAAGTACTGCAACGAACATTTCTGAATTTCCCATATAATTACCGAATTAATTACCTTTTTAATAATGTATCTTATTTTGTACTCTCCCTATTTAGATTGTATTTTTTACTGGGACCGAGGGGAGGTAAAAGCATTTGAGAATATGTTAAAAAAGTGTCCTATTAGGAAAAACCTGCCGGTTCTAAGCATTTTTTAATATTTTTTTATTAAGAGATTGTCCATGGGAAGTTTTTAAATTGATACCCTCTATGATCGTGAGTTGTTTTTTCCGGTTATAACCTGTGCTCATCAGCTCACCCATCTATTAATTGCCATTGCAGTTAGTGTTGACTTATTTACTGTTTCTATAGTAGATCTAATGTTTGGGTCACTTTTATCCTTTTAATTAAAAATCTATTGTTTTCATAGAATCTTAATTTTTACACCATTTTTGCAGTCCTCAAATATCTCGAATACGGCCCATTTTAGGGAAATCATGTATAGAATAAAAATTATAGAGAATGACTATTATTTGAATAATTTTCTTAAAAATTCGATGTTTGTACTTTTTGTCAAATTTCTCGAATACGGACCATTTTAGGAAAATTATGTATACGGCTAAAATTATAGAGAATGATATTGCAAACAACTTTTATTTGAAGAATTTTCTTTTCCAATCGTAAAAAAAGATATTCTTTAATGTAAAAAAAGACACCCTATAAAGAACCCCCAGATGCTTCGACTATGCCCAAAATTTAATTAGCTCTCCGTAGGATGAATTAAAACTTAAGCTCGAGCTCCAATTTAAATATTGGTATTTTTCTCTTTAATCCGTTTTTAAGTTATCTATGAAATTTGCACTTTTTCTCAAATATCTTGAATACGGCCCATTTTAGGAAAATATGTATGGGACAAAAATTATAGAGAATGACATCACAAAAAACTTTTAATTAAACAATTTTCTTAAAAATTAGAATTTTGCACTTTTTGTCAAATTTCTCGAATACAGACCATTTTAGGAAAATTATATATGGGGCAAAAAATCTAGAGAATGATATCGCAAGTAACTTTTATTAAAAGAATTTTTTTCGCCAAGCGTAAATAACAAACATATTCTATAAGTAGAAAAACGACTGTATAAAGTGCTCCCTACCCCAGATGTTCCGACTATTCCCAAAATTTAATCAGCTTACCACAGGGGAGATTAAAGCTTACATTTAAAATTTGATTTTTTTTTTGGCTTGGGCACTTGCCATTCAACCAGTCGCGGAATATATTATATAGGTTTGGTTATTTTCTCTTAATCCATACATGTACACAGACAACACTGCGACAATAATCACAACGGATTCAGGGGGCCCCAAAACCTAAAAATCCGTCGAAACACGAGCTCGAAAAAAATCATTCCTATACTTTCCTTATCTGTATACAGTTAGGAAAGTAAAAATGTCCCAACGAACATACATTTCCATAATTTTGGCTTCCTGGAGTAAAAAAAATAGTTCGATAATACAATACGTAAAGTCGGTAATGTGTAGAAAATGTCGGCAATGTGTAGGAAATGCCGGTAGTGGTTCGGAAATGCCGGCAATCGTTCGTAAATGCCGGAAATGTTCCGACTATGCAGGAAATGTTTCAGAAATTCCAGCATTGTTTAAGAAATACGCCAATAGGTGTACAAATTTTGAACAGTGGAAAGCCCCTCGGATAATACAAAATTTTAAATATACCTTCCTGCATAGTTAATTATTTTACCTATCATTCTAATTGGAGTAAAATAATCGAATTTGACTGTAGGTACTTACTTTTATAATTATGCAGACATATATCAAATTCACTGATACAATCACTATATTAAAACACTGTTATTTAATATTTATAATATTTAGGCATTATTTGATTTTAAGATATTTTTTTATCTTAGGTACACGTTGGTATTTATCAGTATTTGTATTTTTATTCTGTAGTAAGCTTAAGATTACGAACGTTTGTGCTATAATAATGGACAATTGTTGGCATTATAGGTTTTTATTATTAGCATGCGGAATTTTTAAGCAGTATCACCTAACAATAAGAACACCGCTATCTGTACGTTATAACCATTACTTCGAATTTCAATACAAATTATAACTATCAATAAATAAAGTAAGTTTTTAGGTATAAAAAAATATTTCCTATATTCCTATAATATTAACACTCCACTACCCCAGTAAGCGGCGATAGCCAATTGATTACCAAATGCCAAATGATGACATAGGTGTGTTCTTCTTATTGTAATCGGACCCTATCTATATTATTTACCTACGATATACAAGAAAAGATTAGCGTCATAACCGCTACAATTGCGCAAGTAGTCCATTTAAAATAACGATGAAAGATCGAGAAACGCCGCACTTGACGAGACCACTTGTCCCCTACGTATTTTGGGGCACTGATTACAAAAATGAGGGTTAAAACTGGCAGCAATGGTTGGAACACTCCTAAAATTGCAAAAAACACCCCTAAATAGGAGTGTTTTTCGACTGGACAAGTTTATAAAGACATATTACAACTTGATAACGAGCATTCATTCGCATCTTTTAGCAAAACTCCGAGGTCAATTTAGGACAATGACTCAGCTGTGCATTATTAATAACAAAATCTACACCACTAATGGAGTCAACATCAACAAAACAAATTATATCCAATATATTTTTAACAATTTTATTATGGTTTTGCTAAAAAAACTTTTTTTAGTACATATTGTTCTTCTATTGCAGTGTTAAATAAAGTTTATTTGAATTGAAATATTACTGTTCCCATTCAGTCAGATTTTTAGCAAGATATTTTTTAAGGTTGTTCCTCGTATTTTCATACAGGTAATTTAACTCGATCTGTTTGACAAAATCACTTGAGGTATGCTCTCGTGATTTTATCAAAATAACTCTCATTAAATTTCCAATAGCTCAAGTAGTTTTAGGAACTACCGGAGAGTGGGTGATGGTTATTATACAGTGAGCATCATAAGTCTTACCCCCCTAATTCACTCGTTACTGGAGTCTTGTTAGGAAAATCGCCGAGACACATCGATTTTTGATTTCTACAATGTAAATTTCTGTATAAATAGTTTACCCTTAATTTCATCTCTTACAGTAGGGGAGCAACCCTTTCGAAAAATTTAAATGGCATGGGGTTGTGAGTGATAGCTCATTTGAAAGGGGATTTTATTCTCTATTCAACCGTGCAAAACATT